TCTTTTTCACTGTGGCGCTTAAAGGAAACTTTATTAAAGCAGTATTTTACATTAACCTGCCTTGAGCTTGATCATAAAACATAAGAGTTTTATTGTGGTCGATGCAGGTGTTCATTTAAACTTATAGGTGCATTTTATCCATGTTTTGCAGAGATGCTGTCTGTTTGCTGTACGGTCAACCTGAAATATTTATTGGATAGAATGCCATGAAAGTGTGCACATAAATTTATGGTCCACAGAGAAACCGTCCTGAGGACTTTGGTTCCATTTTAATATCGATATTTTTATTTCTCAGTCTGCTGGGCCTTTTTGTTGCATTATCCAACTACATTACCTGGATGCAGACTACATGTCAATACAAAGTGTAAATGGGCTATTTTTGTACATTGCTGTTTTATTTTTTTTTATCTTATTGAGCTGATTTTGCTGCTTTTGTGCTCAAGTTTTCTTTGGAAAATGTTTCTTTATTCTCATTAGGCTAAAATTAATGAAATGAAAGCTGCATATTAATGCATATTACTGCACTGTTCTGTTATTGCACAATCTTACTTGGTTTGCTTTCATGCTTAAAGACCAAGACAGAAGCTGTAATTCATCAATAAATTTCAACTTTTTAGTTCAGCCCAGCACATGAGCAGAGTTCATGGACTGAAATATGAAAGAAGAAACTTTAAAAAAAAAAAAAAAATCCAGTAAGCACTGTCCATTCCAATTTTGTCTCGAGGCAAAAAAAGATTTATCGGCTTGCATCTCCTCTGGAGTATTTTAGAATTTCCAATTTTTCATTCTCCTACAATCACCTCTGTTTTGCCCCGAGAACCTGAATTAAAAGCGAGCAAAGATTGGAGTGGAAGGTGAGAAAGTGAGTGCGATGCTCTCGTTCAGATCACTCATACATACGCTCAGTAGGATCCTCTTCTCCGCGGTCCTGCTGTGCTGTTTCTATTTGGATAAAACCGAGCTATAGCAGAATAACAAGTGGAACAACAACACAGCGGAGTCACGGAGTCGCCGCAGACAGGAAGAGACTGAGCCCACTTTGTTGTCAAGATAAGGGAGACGAGGCAGCGCAGGACATCTGGTGCTGTCTAGTCAGTCTAAGCCACAATTCTCCAACACATGCATCTTACCTATCACCTAATACCGAGTTTATTGTTACCAGATGCTCATATTGGCAAACTAGAGGCTTCGTTGTTTACAGGTGGACATATATACTATCACTGTATACGTGAATACAATCCATAATTCTGAAAAAAACAAAAACAACAACAAAAGGATTGCACATAGGTGTTGTTTACAGTCAGCATATTCAATAAAATGTTTTCACAGGTGTCTGTATTTGGTCACACATGCCAACCGCTGTCACATTTTTCCTTTAGCGTGATGAGACGGTATATTCCATCCCTGCTCATGTGTCATGAGGCGCCGTGTTGCATCTATTTCTGTAGAATTCTGCAGCTAAAGCTCAGGTCTGCCTTGCCAGAGGCATCTGGTTCTAATCCTAAGTCAGTTTAGCCAAGCCACATTTTCATGCATGCTGTCTTCCCTGAAAACATGGATGGATGGGCTCCCTTGAACAGCAGCAGCAACAGCAGCAGCAGCAGCGGCAGCAGCAGACTCAGTCCTGGCTCTGAAATGTGCACCCTGGCAGTGGCATCATGTATACATAAGACATGCCAATGCCTGTTTAGAAAATGACCTGCAGTGGGTGAGCAATGATCATCATAAAATGAATTTGTACCAAAGCTAAAACACAATTCTCTCTACCTGTCATCCTTTCTTTATGTATTATTCTCGGCAGGCATGTGGCAAATGCAGATATCTAGCAGCACGCCCTGCAGCTCAACGTGTACTTTCATGAACTTTCTCGAAGTTTTAAGCTCGAAGCTCTGTAACACAAATTAAATGCTTGACTTTTGTTAATTGTATCCTCCTCTGATTGAGGTAGCTGTGTAATGTGTTTACCTTCACTGAACTTAAAAAAAAAGGAAACAGGATAAGCTGCTAAAGAACACATTCCTCCAACATTCTGCGTTTCCCAAAATTGGATCATCACACGCAGAGACTAAGAGGTGTGAAGGGTGAATAATTTGCTGTCTTCTGGGAATTTCAGGAGCAGGAAGAAGTTATTGCAATAAATGAATCCTCATCATCTACTGTAACATACCAGAATACATGTAATAACAATATGCAATGTAATAATAATGACCACAAACTTTGTCTATTTTGCATGCGTTTCTTTATTTACCACAGAATATAGTCATCATTGAAACCACCATGACAACTGGTGGGCTGATTTTCTTCACATATATTTATCTTTTTTTCGCACTCTTGATATGTTTAGTCTGTTGAACTTGATAATAAAGTACAAATCAAGATAAAAGGCTGAGGTCAGAGAGAGACTGTACAACTGTATAACAAGTGGTCTAAAAAATGTCATGTAGAAAACAAAAAAAAGGTAATTTCTTGTATTATTCTGCACTTGAGTGTTGAACATTATGTGTCTCTACAACTTAAGAAACGCACCCTTTTGTAGTACTTTTTTTTTTTTGCTTTTGTCATCGTAAAGCCAAAATTAGACTTTTGTACAGACTTCGTGACATTCCCATAAGTCTCAGCTACACTTTCTTGTTAGTGCTAATTAACAAATATTAGCAGGCCAACATGTGCTAATTTGTCATATTGCAAACGCTGCAAAATATCCAAGTGGGTCCAACTGAAGCACGTCAGACCTCCCTCCTCAGGCCCCTCTCGCGCAGGTGCTATCGCCCCCTACTGGTCGGGGGAAGTATGCTTGTTGTATATTGAATATTAAAACGCATCTATACTACCTATGCTGCACCAAAACAAAGTGACTACTCACTTATTCTAGACTAATATGAGTTCAGAAGCTCATTTCACTACGCTGATAACTGCTACTCAAGTAATGTAAAAACCTATGGTAGTAAAAGAATGACATATTCTAGTATACTTAAGTCATTTTAGTCTATTGAAAAAGTTCTATTAGACTCATGTTATTTACATGTGTAGTGGTTTAGCTGCTTTGCTTCCTCAAAAGCTCAAAGTGTGACCAAGAAAGCAGCAGCAATCTCAAGTAGTCTTATGGAAGTTGGACAAAGTTCTAAATTAAGTCTTTTAGATCTGGTTTGAGTGAGAATTCAGGAACTGGAATGATTATTTTTAGCCTCTAATTTGATCAGAAACAGATTTTAGTGGTTTGCTAAGATGAAAAATGTTTACATAGGCTACTTCCTCAAGATTATTTTTTGCTTTAAATTTACTTAAAAAACGATTTTAGTCATTTGCAAAGGTGGAAAAAAGTGCAGGTTTAAGTAGCCAACATCATGCACCAGAAGACTATTCATCTTGCTCATTGGCTTTCAGAAGTGGGGGCCTCAGGAGCGAAGTCTGCAGTTGGACCGTTCTCAAAGCATCCGTTGTTAGCATTGTCACTGTGAGCATGTCAGCATAATGTTAGTACTCAGCTCATGCCCTTACAGAGTTGTTTAAGACTCGTTTTAAATGCTTTGTGGTATGTACTTCAAGAATAGGAGGATTTAAAACTTAGTCCTTGAGTTCATTTGAAGACCATATGAGGAGATACATAGCTTTCACTAGACAGCGACGTCGGACAGTTTGTTGTATTTTCTCCCGTTGGAAAAACAAAAAAGACAAACGGACAACATTTCATAAAAATGGAACTCCGACTGGAGCGTACTCACGTGTAGCACGACAATTTGCGGTGAATCAATATCTCATGCTTGATTCCTCACATTACACGACAGACGCACACGAAATAAAGTTCACTCACTGGATCCACAGTGACGAACGCTTTAGGTAGAAAGTGGCATTTTGTGCAGGAAAATGGGAGTCATACAAAAAAAAGATCCACAACTGGGAATGACTTTTTTGACTTTGTATTCATTGATATAAGCTTCTTTCATTTTTTTCAAAAACCTCTATAACCCCCCTACTACAGTATAATGTCATGTGTCACACTTTAAAACATGCATCACCTCAGTGCTCTAGCTTTTCCTTGCAATCCTTATATTTAATTTCCCCAATTCCGACTTCTAAGGCTGCAGAATCTGTTGTTGTGCTAATGTTTTGAATAGCTTTACACCCGTCGACACGTCTTCTGTATCTGCTAGTCACTGGAACTGTGAGTGAGATGTGATCATTTGCAACTCAACAAAACATTTACTCAATGATTCAAAGAAATAATGACTCGTTCTGCTATTTTCCTGCTCTCAAAAGGCATGGGAGCGTGTCGATGTGCGCGCAAGAAGCATTAGAGTAGTCGGCATCAGAGGACGGACTGCACTTTTATCTAGAGACACGTTGGAATAAATTGCATGTGATACCAGAGAGTTCATGTGTAAATAGCTTTAAGGTTGAGGTCTTGGAACATTTTATCACTTTACTGGAGGGCTTTCAGTTCCTACAATCCAACTTTTCTATAATCAAATCCTTTTTTTTCTCTCTCTCTCTCTTTTGCTTAGAATGTTACGTAGCATTTTGATGTCTCTTTTTCGGCCACAGTTGGGTTCTATTATTTATGAGGTTCATTTTGTTCGACAGATTTTCCTTGAAAATTTCTCCCGGCTCTACTTTTATTCCTCGCGAACAACGATGATGAAACTGTTTACGAGGGAGTTAAACACGCCTTTTCCCCTTAATAAGCCTGAAATTACAGAGAGGAAAACCAACATGTACGCTGTATCCGCCGCTGCTACAACACAACCACTTTATTCTCCTCTTTGTAGATACAGTAGCTCAGACACCCGTCTCAGTCCAGCTGTGAGGTTACTTCTTTAATAAACAAAACACAACATTTAAAAAAAACTGACATTTTTCCCCCCCTAGACACAGCTTTTGGTTATCATCCACCTGGAGGATGATGGAGTGATGGGCACAGATTAGTCCGATTTCTGCCTGCAGGAGTAACACTGTGGAGTGCATGCTGGTGTAATTGTGACCTGCCGAGCACGCCGAGTGGCTCAGCGCTGCCGGGAGAAGAGGTTCCTCAGGGCGTTGTTGTAGTTCTTGTTAAAGGCGGTGTATATGAGCGGGTTAAAGAAGGAGTTGGAGTAGCCCAGCCACAGGAAGATGCTCTTCCAGATGGGCGGGATGTCGCAGGAGCACAGCGGGACGATGAGCTCGGTGATGAAGAAAGGAATCCAGCAAAGTACAAAGACGCCAATCAAAATGCCCACCATGAGCGCCGCCTTTTTCTCCTTCTGCTCGCGCCACGTGTCCCCGTCCGTCTGGAAGGTCACGGTGGCGTGCCGCACGGTAAACACCATCTGGGGCTGCTGCGTCTCCTCCTTCACCTGGGAGGCAGCCGATCACAGAATAAATCAGTTTACTCTATTGATTGGTTAATCAATCGGACAAACCTGGTTAGCTTGAGAATCAGAAAGCAATATCCTGAACAATATGGGCCAAAGAGAAGCAATTACTGAGGAGAAAATTTTGTGGCTGCTCAACAAAAGATGGATTACAGGCTGCTGAACTGAAGTGTGAATCAACAGGTGGATCAACAAGCTTATTCTTTCATTTCATACACTCACACACACACACACTCGCACTCTTAATCTGCATTTTCCAGCAGCCCATTTTGTGCCATTTTCCCAGAGATATTGCACAGCCTAGGAAAAGGAAAAAGAAAATGTCAACATTTATCTGCTGACTTTCTCTTATTTGTTGCCTAGCACAGCTCAAGGCTGACTTCTTTTTTTTTTTTTCATCCAAAGAAGTCATCCAGGTCGCAGCTTTTATAAGGACAAACCATGCCTCTAAATGTGTCGGATGTGAAAGCGCGCAGGCTAACACTCTGCACTGTTCAACATTTAAACAAGAACCTGCAGGAACTTGTTCACTCTGGAGCAAATTTAGCTGAATCAATACGGGTCAGCGGGGCCCATAACTGATAAGACGGAAGAAGCGTATCCATTTGCGGCAGGGGCCAGAAGTTAAAAGCGTACTGCTGTTTGGAAGGAGGTTTGAAATTGGAGGGACGGTTAAAGAACATTATATACTAGACGGTGCAGTAGCTGAAATGGGCTCTTAACTGCGAGTCTGCTTTACGTATCAGATCAATGATGTCTTTAACATAAGATATTGAGTTAAGTTTTCCAAACCGTCACCTTCCTCTGCAAGGCTCAGCTTTGTTCAGGCAGCTAAATCTACTTGGTTAGGCATTCAGGAAGGATTGTGGTCAGTGTTGGCCAGGAGGTGATTAGCTTACCTTACAGTGTTTGAGGGGAAACGGCTAGCGTGGCTTCGACCCAAGTCCTCTGCTTAATATGCCAACCCATTCTCATTCCCAGGACATCAAATACAGCCGTTTTGTCTAAGCTGCTTGCATCTCAGAGATGTGCACAAGGTGTCCTCTGGAGTCTGAGCCGCTGTCAGTGTCAATATTTATAGCCGACAGATGTATAGGAGTTTTTCCAGTTTAAAAAGGTCTCATGAGGAGAATACAGGGTTGGATGTAGCGTGTGTTACAAGCCTTTACCTTAGGAAACTGCTGTTATTTCCTTTTTTCACAGCGTTTAGTTGTATTTTGCGGCTTAATTCTCATTTTTCACGTGCTTTTTGGTTAAGTTAGGCACCAAAATGTCACAGTTGGGGTTAAAATACATGCTTTCCCATCGTTAAGCACATTTTACAAGGCAAACCTCTTGTCATCTGAAAAACAGCGACAATGGCAACACCAGCAGAGAATATTTGGCCACACTCTCATGCCATGTATTTCTGATGTTCACAAATTTTTCTAACACCACCACGGTACTCTGCATGCTGAAAAATGATACTAAAGGGTATCAAGTGTGTTCAAATGTGATGCCAAGTGGCCCTGACACGCCAAGAGTGAGACCAGGCTTAATATCGCTCTCTGTTGCTTATTTCATTAGTATTCAAGCCAAAATATGAAAGAAAAGGGTGTTTTTTTGCCAACACTTGGGTTCTGGGAGTTCTTTTTGACAGACAAAAGTCAGGAACGGTGACTTCTTTGACTCACCGCCATGAGATTGTCAGCAGAGACTTCAATTCAGCTCAAATGGATGGGAAGATGTGTCCGCACGAACCGAAAATGTTTCAGCCCGAGTGAGAAAGTAGCACTTGTTCCAGGGCTTTATGAGTCTCCTTCATGAGTAGATTGGTACAAGAGGACGAGGGAGCGAGACTTGAGTGAAATAACAGGAAGAATATGAGTTTCTGGTGGCTTGTTTGTACAGTTGCTACATTTTACGTTTGGAATAAATTAACAAATACTGCAAAATTAATTCGGCCGTCATATTTGATCAGATGGCGCGACGCGTTTGTATATGAACAAACAAACAAGATATTTATTAGTGAGCTTTAGAGGTGCTGGTTTGTGTATTTTTAATCTTAAAAAGAAAGAAAGAAGTCTTTATGTGTTGAGGTTCAGTTCAGCTGAGTTGTTTTTTTTAAAAAGTTGTATAGAATCTAAAGTATATTTCTGGCATCGGTCACTTTGCATGCTTACAGTGAAATGAACCATCTTCTGCAACTACTTTCTGACTTTCGGTATAGAGCTATTTGTGCAACTAGGTCAGGAAGCTGTGCATCATACCTATCAATACACTTTATTTCTGGTGCCATGTGCATGTGTGTGTGTGTGTGGCTTATTGTCTTAGAGTGGGTGTTTTTTTGACAGATGAGTGCAGGAGGTTTATTATCTCAGATGTCGATGCCACCGCTCACATCATAGCGCCGTGCAGTCACTTCGCAGGGCTCGCTGCATGCTTGGAAATGATGAGGGTAAACTTTGACTGGGTAATGAGACGCATAGAAAACAACTATAAGCTGTGTGTGTGTGTGTGTCTGTGGAAAGCAAAACCTCCAATAAAACATATTCAGCATAATTGCTATAGCTGCAAGAACGATTGCCTGCGTAATGAAACTTGACATAAACGTCCATCAAAGCAACAACAGAAAGGGCTAATTAATTCAGCGATCGGTCCTCCTTGACCACGCGCTCCCAATTTTGGACCTACTGACGTCACACTTGCATAAGAATAGGGGGTATCTTGAGGTTTTGGGGGGACAATTGCACACATTACTTACGGTAAATGAGAAAAATGGCCTCACTGTGTGTTTTCTGTGAACCTTTTCTTCCTCCTGTGGATGTTTTCTCAGTTCTTGGCATCGTCAGACTGAATGAAAAGCCTTTCACAGGTGAAAGAAAAAGGTGTGTTTTCAAAGAGGCCTAAAAGTAGCGTAATCTCCACCACTGTCGGCGAAAAGTGGGTGCGACACAGTTTTCACAGGCAAAGCTGCCCTGATTAAATGTTTTGCTAATGCTTACGGAATAGATCTAGACCTCTGTGGCTGCTGATTAGAGGAAAACCAAAGGCAGGAAGGTTCAGTTGCCCATTAAAGATGCGGAAGATGGTATTTATAGCCTTCTACCTTCTGCCTACACACATTAACAAGCTGCTGGTGATGAGCAGGATGGCTTCAGTAATTTGTCCTCCTGCTCATACATTGAACACTTATGTTTCCCTGATTACTCTTGAACAGCTCATCAGTCAAAATAATAGATAATTGCACAGCTATCCATATTTGTGGGCATTAGCCAGAGATGTATTCATTCTGGGTTATAGGTAAGGGAGAGTAATGATATTGCGACTTATGAGGATGAGAAGTTGTTTAAAGAAAAAAAAAGGGTATAAAAATGGAAAATGAATAATCACCTCAGCCATGGGTGTGATTGTGTTCGTCTTGCGGGAACCAATCCGAAACTTGGCAGCCTTGTAGATCTTCCAATAAACAAAGAGAACCACGCAAAGCGGGAGGTAAAAGGCGCCAAAGGTGGAGAAGATGGTGTAGGACGGCTCCTGGCTCACCTGGCACTTCATCCCCTCTGAGTACGTCTCCCCCCAGCCGAAGAGCGGCGACAAGGAGATGATGGAGGACAGCAGCCACGTGAGCGCGATCATCACGTTGGAGATCTTTTTGCGCGTCTTGAGCGTGTACTCCAGGTGCCTCGTGATGGACCAGTAGCGGTCCAGGGCGATGGCCGTCACGTTCCAGATGCTGGCCGTGCAGCAGAGCACGTCGAAGGAGATCCACACCTGGCACAGCACGCGGCCCAGCTTCCACAGCCGGCCGTTCAGCTCGTGCACGAGGCTGAGCGGCATCACCAGGCCGGCCACCATCACGTCCGAGATGGCCATGGAAGCCACCAGGTTGTGGGGCACCCGGTGGAACGTCCTCACCCGCAGGATGGTCACCAGCACCAGCAGGTTCCACACAAACGTGGCCACCACCAGCATCGCCAGCAGAGTGAGAGTGAGCACGCTGAAAACTGAGAAGGGCCGGTAGATGTTCCCCCCGGAGTCATGGTCCTCCAACGCCCCGCTGAAGTTGGCTGTCAGTGAGCTGGTGTTGGGGTACGTCATGGTCGCTGCTCACGGCCCCGCAGCAGAGGGCCAAGAGGATTCAGTTTCTGCAGACAGCTTGTACATTCTGCAGGCAGGAAGAGAGAAGGAGTCACTGATTTAATGTGATTACTGTGTGTAAATCTCAACAATATGTGCTCAAGCGTAAAGACGCAACACAAATAAAAAATATGTCGCTTTCACTGCTGGTTTTTGTGCCAGTGTGTAAATCCACTGCATCGCCGTGTCATTGTCAAGAGAGGGAGTTTAGTGATTTGCTCACAATAGTAAAAAAAAAAAAAAAAAAGTACTTGAGTTTCTCATTTCAGTTGTCAAGCAACCTGCCTACAACTTTCAAGTGCAATTTCATCTGCTGTTAAAAAGGCTCAAAAAGTACTTGGGGACATCTCTGGTTCAGGAAAAAGACCATAAATATTCAGTTTCATCATCCCACTGCCGTGCTTTGATTTGCATCAAAGTCGGGACTCGGTTGCAAAATGAACAGTTTTAAGTGGAGTCTTGCCTTAGACTCATTTGGGAATATCTAATTTTCGTACCCAATAGAGAGATCCCTCTTTCAGGCATTGTGGAGTTATGTGTTTTAAGTGGTTGCAGAGAGGCGCATGTGTTTTTTTTTTTTTGTTTTTTTTTAAACTTTGTCTAGGAGTGTCTGTTTGAGAGATTCTCTGTATTAACATAAGACCGTCTCCATTTCGAGCTCACAAAAGAAAAGATTTGACATGCCAGCTCTATCAATACATTCACAGGAGAGGCTCAGCAAGCTGCAAAGTCTGTTCGCTACACAATGTTCAACAGTGCAGAAACAATGAATCTCAAATCACCAACTACTTCTGCTGTCTGACAGCAGAATGTTTTTTTTTGGTAAAGTCTAATATCGCTCTGTGCAACTGGCAACAGCGGAAACAAAGAGGCCGACTTCACTGCAAGTAGAATAATTAAACAAATCATCAATTGTCTGATTTCAGCAGCTGCATTAATTAAAAACTTTAAATGAAAAATATGCAAAAGACTAACATAAGGAATCAGCATTTTTTTTCTCCAGAATATAATGTTATGATCATTAAGACTCATCACACAATGAGAATTTTTCAGCAGCTCACAATGACAACATTTTAACAGGAGCCTGATTTTGCGACATGTTCATTTCAGTCAATACTTCTTATTTATACATGCACAGTTTAGATGTCTCCTCTTTCTAACTTCTCACAGTCCTCCCAGGCTTTTTAGAAATCCAGATCACAGTTTCTTAGTTTGACCCAGTGCATCCACCACTCCAGAATCTTAAAAGTGGAGCTTTATACCGGTAATTTTAAATATTAAATACAATCATTCATTTTGAATGTGTCCTCTTTCGACATTGTGAGGATCTGGATGATGAGCTCAGGTTATTTTTCCAGGTCTAAAGGCAAAGTGGATATAATGAGCGCAACTAATGCATATAATACTCCTGCAAATAATTGGCCCTAATTGAGTTTGATTTAAATCCCAGGATTTAATCGATAGGATCGTATTCTTGTGGTTGTTTGGCCTCTGACAACATCACTTGTGGCTATATTACTAAAGGATTAATCTGATGAATAAATCAAATCAGAATTTCAAGGACGTTGTTGATTTTTCTGCAGGAAAATCAACACTGAAAGAAAGCCAAAATACAATATGAGACCTCCTGGTTAAATGCTTTATTCATATACGTTTTTACGCGTGAGGGGGGCCGAGCCAGATCGTTTTCCTTGTTGGGTTTCTTCAATAACAACACAAGCCATGTCTCCTTTAGCTGCTACATGTAAGTGACATGTGACAGTGTCTCTTAGCATCACAATCCACGGCCTTTAATCAAAGGTTCCACCCAAGCACACACCAATAGGCTCTGTGCTCTCTCTTCTCCCCGCTTCTATTAACAAGCCTAATAGCCATGAAATTGGACAACCGTTATGAAGGGAAGAGGCAATCAAACATGCGCCATTCAGCCAAGCAGGCCTACAATTTCTCTGCTGACATCGCAGGCCAGGTGTCTGAAAAGACAGCTGTCACTCACCGTGTGAAAGGGACAAGACAGAAAACACATGCAAATGCATGTGCACACGGCAGAGGAGTGACGCTGATAGACAGGCTTCACATTCACTGATGTCTGAGGATAATACCTGAACACGTACAACTCACATTTTTCAATGTTTTTCGATGGCCGTGTCAGTAAAAATGTCAATTCAGGTCAGTCGATGTCTCGATACTCTCAAACGCCATCTGGTTCACCTGGCATACTTGCTCTAGACCCCCTCGCGGGAATTTCAGTTAACTGTGAGAAATTAAACAGGAACGGAGGGTGATTAACATCTCATTACTTATCAGAAGGTCTGTACACTTTTACTTTTTCAGTTGGAGGAGAGAGGTGAAAATGACAGCGAAGAATTTTAATGATCCAGACAGAGCTGCAGGAGGGAGATACGTTCCGCGCACACGTATTTCATTATCACTTGAAAACGAGCAAATTCATCAGAAACTTAAAAAAAATAAAAAATAAAAAAATCCTCTCTGAGCCTCCAGAAGCAGCAGGAGAACCACGCTGCTCCAGATGCTGCACAACTTAAGATTTGGTTTCATTAATTCCCATAAACTTGTATGTTTTTAAAAGATAAGTTTTACTTTCTGGCCACTTCTTTCACATTTTGAAGCCCCTTCTGTACAACCAGCCTGCTGATTAAAAACAATATTCAAGTTTCCAAAAAAAAAAGTACTTTGACATCCCAGTTTTTGTTTCATCTTTGCATCCAAACACAAAAAACTGCAAGAGTGTGAGTGACAGCCTCATAGGAAACTGTCCTATGCTCATTTGTTGCTCACTTCTCCCTTAAGGAGAGTTGGCATTTGCAGCTGAACAAAGGGAAACTATGCAGATGTGTCCTCTGACATAGTTGATATTAAAAATCATAAAGCAAACCGTTAAACTGGGAGGTAAACACTTCACAAAGGAGCAAACCAATGCAACGTGTGTGATCAGAAATGTTGAAAGCATGGTCTGACTGCTCAGTGGAAAGCAAAACTCTGCATGCAAGTGTGATTAAATGATTAAAAAATGGCAGTTTCTAAGAGATTGAGTTCAAATATTACTTTCCAGAATAACAACTTAAACACTCAGCAAATCCCCCACGGAGCTCTGCTGTCTCCCCTGAGGGCTTCTTATCTGCACCTGCCTCTGCTTAAAGATGATAATTAACCAAGACACTTGTTACACATCATCTCAAACACAACCGCACTTTGACACATAAAGAAAGAAAACGGTATTTCTCAGCGATTCCAAAGGTTTTTTTTCTTCTTTTTTTTTTTTTTTTTTTACATCTGGAAGACAACAACTCACCCCAATAACAGTTAAAAGCCTAAAGCGGATCCTGCTCGAGTAGATCTCTGCTCGGTCTTAATCTCGCCTCGGAAATTTCACTTTGCGGCTCTGTCAGCGCAGTGATTGAGCTCAGTGTGGATGGCAGCAGAAACACACCTCGCACTGAAGGATACAGAGGCGCTGGAATGAACCACACGGCGCTCTGGAGGGGGAAACCGAGTCCAGGCGAATGATCAACGCTGCGTTTTTTTATGGGCATGTGGGAGACTCGTGTGCGGTTTTTTTTGTTGTTGTTGTTGGTTTTGTTTGACCTGCGTAAGAGAGAGAGAGAGAGACAGGGAGAGAGAGAGGGAGCTTTATGTCCCCGGTGCGTTTGAGGACGATGTCTCCATCCTGACAGAGTGCTCATGCTGCTCGGGAAAACAGTCCCTCTTTCTAATGAGTCGCACTCTGCAGTGATCAGAGGTTGCTTAAGGAGACACGGATCCTGCTGCTTTGTGATGGATGATACTTCCATGCAACCACCTATGGAACTCCCGTGGCATCATCTTCCTGCTCCTCCTCCTCCTCCTCCTCCTCCTCCTCCTCCCTCATTCTTCTCCTCCTGCCTGCTTGATTAATCCGTAATTCAAATCCAATTTGTGTCCAAGAAACTCTGTAACACTTCTAATCGAGTTTCTCTGCGTGGGCTATCGTGGGACACTCGGTTTGTCCCGTGGAAATGTCCTGAGATAAATCAAGATTTATTTAATTAAGTCCTCATAGTGTGCACCGGAGCACTGTGAGCCTGCTTACCAATCTGTCAATTAGAACCTGCTTTAAAGATGATTTCATTTAGGAGGCAGAATTAGTTTGATAACACATGCAGCTATATGAGGACAAGGATTCCTATCAGACTTTATAATGTCAGACTGCTGCCTTGCACTTAACTGACATCCATCTGTCCTTAAACATAAAGCAGCAGCCCCACAGAGCAGTGCCCTGACTATAAACAGGCTCTTTAGTATCACAGACACACCATGAGTCCCTATAGAAGCTGATAATAAATGGACCTACATAAAAGTTGTGGTTTCAGCACCATGGTCAGCGCCATGGGACGCATGTTCATTACTTTCATAAAAAATGCAAAGGGGAAAAAAAAGGAAAAAAGCCCGGCACATTGTTCCAGCACAACCTGCATAAAGTCACATGTTAGACACTGCTGGCTTTTCCTCCTGCAGCTGCAGCACAAATGCAAACACCATCCACCTAATTTACCTCAGCAACCTTGGAGGGTACAAAGAGTGCTTATCTAATTGTTGCTTGTGCTAACACTTACTTCCTCCTAATCCATGGGATTTGCCTGAAACATCTGCTCCGAGCGTCTGAATGGTAACTAACCATGAAATATGCAGCTGCACACATGTAGAGGCACACTTGGCCCTGCTCAAGGAAGAAAAAACAAACATTTGAGTAGCTTCTGCACTCCCCCTTTTTTTTTTTTGCATGTCCTCCTCCCTCTTTAACTCCCTCGTACAGGTGATGCACAAAATCAAATCAGCTTAGCACTTGCTCCTGCAGTCACTGCTGAATAACCTGCTTTGCAAAATCGTGTCTTGCTAATTATAGGGCGATGAAGGCATTAATGCAACCCACTTAAAGTGACACTGCAAAGTGTTCCTTATTC